ATTCTCTCCTTGACAAGCAACAAGCATGCAGCAAGAACCTTCCCAAGCTCAGGAGGCTGAAACTAAGAGAGTAGGTTAAGCAGTTTGGATAGGAAATACAGCGTAATTTTAATTTTTGAACTCTTCCTCCAGTGTCCTACACGAAGCAGGAAAGTCATGGACTCCAGGTAACAGGAGGGGACAAATAAAAACCCCAACCTCAACCTAACCAGAAGCAGCACACAAACTTAAAAAAAATGTTCCCTATCCCATGCTGAGACTTCACATCAAATGAAAACCTCTAAAAGCCTTCATCTGACATCTGCTCAGCCTTCTTCACTGCAAAGCTTCCTCCAGCTGCTGGTTAAGTAGCAGTCAGCCCTTCAGTTTAAGTGGTAATGGCTACTGCACTACATAGGGTTCCCAGGTCAAATCCAGTTGTGAAGAAGCCAGCAAGTACAAATGCTTAATCTCAGTTTCTTTTACTTTTGCCACTTAAACGCACATCAGAAAGCTCATGTCCAAATTGCAAAATTATTAAAAGGTCCAGCAGTTCAGAGTTAGGAACGGTGGGATGGAGGGTGTAGCTACAAGTTCAGTGCACACCTTATAGAAGGGTGATGATGGTGCCATCCTTGCTCTTGTGATCACATGCCACTTTCACATCCCCAGGCAGCATGCATGCAGGGACAGGATAACCACATGCTACCCAATTCATTGGAAATCTGGCATTTTCCAAGCATTCTACTTCTGTGACCTAAATCGTATCTCTAATGTACTTTCGGCTACGATAAGAAATCACACTGAGAAACTTCATCCTAAGAATGCAGTCTCATTGATATATCACTTAAGCTAATCCCTCCTCAGCAGGGAGACATGGAATAGACAATCCATCGATCCCTCTGAGCTGCAGCAACTAATCCACTGTACTGGTATAGTGATACCAAAAGTGGCCATCTGATGTTGCCAAAAGCAGGCACTTCCCCAGATCCTTAAGCTGCACTAATTCTGTAGGGAAGGTGCAGCCATCACTAGAGATTCATGCAGTTATGCCTTTTTTTGCATGCATTTCACCACAAACATCTGTGGGTGCTGCCTGAGCTGAAGGAGGTTTTACTTTTTCCCTAATCCCTAAAGCAGAAAGATTGCCCTAAGGAAGACAAAGCATCTTCCTCTAGTTGAAGGCAAGGGCATCTGCACCATGTTGACTGCACATGGATTTCCAGGCCAGATGAAAGACATAAAATGGGTAGGATGGGGAGAAAGATCTGCTGGCCAAATATCTACAGCAGAATAGCCATGGAGGCTTTTTCTGCACTCTGTTCTCACCACCAAATTCAGAGCATCCCACTTTTTTGACAGTGAACCTACCTCTGAAAAATAACAAATGTCCTCTTCTACCTTCTGTACTTTCCATGTAGTTGTGCCTGGAATATTAGTTTTCAAACTGTTCAAGAACAGTGGATTGTTGTCCAGGACAGCTGAAAGCCACCGGGCAGTTTTTTGGCTAAGCACCCTTGTATGAGCCATTCTGCTTCTGTTCCCCTCATAGAAAAGGGGTCTCCCTATTTCACTAACTACATCTATTGCAACATCTGCCACTAGTCTGCAAACAACTGTGGCATGCTGTCTGTTGTAATTCAACAAACTTACTGTTTCAAACACCTGTAAATGTTTACAACAGTCAAATCAATTGCTTGCAAAAGGACAAAGCAAAATTCTGTATCTAAACACCCCCAAGTCCTAGAGGGAAACAGCACTGGATCTTGATGTCAGGCAAGCACACATCTCTCTCATGGGCAAAGTCAAAAAGTAATGTCTGAAGACCCTTCTGTCTCCCACCTACCCCTTTTGCTCTGGAAATGCAAATTATTGTCACAGTCTTTTGTTCTTTCTCCTGTTTTTATTTCTATAAGACAGGTACGTTTCTGATGGTATTAAATGCTGCAGATAATGATAAAACCAGAGTGTACTTTGAAGGACAAATACTTTCCAGCTGCCTTCATCTAAGCACAACACAGAGTCTGTACCAAAGTTAGCTCTGGTTGTGCACTTCCCATTATCAGTGTTCTACAGTGAGGACAATCAATTAGGTTGCTCAAAAGAAACAGAAGTGCTTACATGTAGTCTCTCCCTCTGTTTATTGGGGGACCTCAGATCCTCTACAATGCTCAAGTGATTTCCACTTTCACTCAACCCACACAAGGCATAATGGAAAGGTGCAAACTTACCTCTAGAATTTCTCCCACCTCTGCTGCTTTGGAGTGACTTTGTTTGGTTTGGTTAAGACTTGAATCACACACACATATTTTCCTTCTTCATTTACCTGGATTTCTCCTCCATATCTTGAATCTCATTACAGAAAATTGGCCATTTCTCAGACAAGCACCAGGGTTTTTTTTGTAGGAACAAGTCAAACAGGAACACAGTCATCTCTTCCAACTGAGCAGCACACAGAGCAGTCTGTGCCAAACTGTTGGTATTTCAGGTCCTTCAGAGAGAAATGCCATGTTTAAGAGGCACAAACTCAGTCACCTCCTTTCTAAAAGGAGGACCTGCAACACAGACTTAAGATCACACCTTCAATAGCATCACACGGAAAGAGATGCAGCACAGCAATGGAAGTGACCTGTGAGCAGGGAGAAGGAGGTCTTCCTTCTCATCACCTCTGCCCAGAGCAGGATGTTCAGTCAAGCATCACTCCCAAACAACCTCTGCCTAGACTTGAGGATGGGAGATGATAGTTACTAATACTCTGCCAGAAAGGCCTTTACCTAGTGAAAGGCTGGCATTAGACTACCAGCAGTTTCACTGGCATCACAGAAATCCATTCAACTAAGAACAACGCTCCCAGTAAACAAACAAAAGGCCAGGAGGGAAACATGAGATTTCTCCCCTTATGCTTTCCAGAAACGTACCAGAAACCCTCACATCAGAGGAGGTGAAGGAAATAACTATGAGGCCAGGAATAGCTCCACGCAGCTCGTCTTTGCCATGCAACACACAATGAGACAGACAGGAGCTCATTTTCTTTGGCCATATTTCAGATTTCCTGCAAGAAGAAAAAGGCTTGCACAGGGACATACATTATCAACTAGGTCATACTTCCCCTCACCACTCAAAGCAATCTTTTGAAGTTATTGGGCAATTTTAACTCCAGTTTATGAAAAGAGGGGCCTCAAAATTGCTTAGTTCTTTAAAGTCCTGCATAAACAGGACCAGAGAGTGATTCTTATCAGTGCCCCAAGCAAACTAAAAAGACTGAAGCATTTCATCCTTGTCAGGCATGAGGGAGGCTGCAAAGCCCTGGAGATCCACAGGAAATCAAGCTTCACTGGATTTTCAAAAAACGTATTATTATTCTAAGTGAAGGCAGGCCAAAGAAGGAAACACAACACACTAATTCTGGCTTTTGCAGAATGGTACTGCAACATCACAGCTTATGTTTCTCTTCTAAAATATGGTTCATCAACCAGCTAGCCTCTTCCCACACCAATGCCATAACTTTCCCAGCCACCTCTTCCTTATACCTGGAAGCCGTGTCCTCAACTGCAGCTTCACCTGTTCATCCAGTGATGATCTACTGACTTTATTTCCTATAGCTCTGACAGACATCTATCAGAGACAAGCTTGCCCTGTAAGAATAAACCTGTGTCAGCTGACTACAGACAACCCCAGAGCCACCTGTAACACCACTTTTTCCAACAGAGCCGCAAGACAAATGTTGTTCCAAAAGTTCTTTTGAACATCCCTAGGAAGCGTTAAGTAAAATGCTTTTTCACTCCACAAACACACCATTCCTCTTCCCAAAGCTGTGTTTTGCTGAAATGGCAGTGAGCTTTAATGAACTATTTCAGTTTTGGGTACACCTACAGGATGAGATCATAGTGTGGGTGATGTAAACTCTAATCCAGCTAAAGACTTCGGCAGAAGTCATAGCACCACTGCTAACCCAAGGTGCAGCCTAAGAGCACAAATTCTGAGGTCTCCATGAACCACTGCACTCTGTTGTGCACTGTAATTTCCTCGCTACCTTCTCCACCTTGGGCAGCACAGGCACACCATCCCATGCCAGGCACAAGATCATTGCAGTGGCACATTTTGCTGTGCCAGCCCTTGTTTGAGAACCCCAAGCTACTGCACCACTACAAAATTGCAGTTAATGCCAATAAATAGCAATGTCTCCTCTGTTGCCAGATGTCCTGTAACCAATTGCCTTGTTCCCCACAGATAAGTTATCTGTATTCATACACACAGCGTCTTAAGGAGGAGCACTCAAAATATATGAGGTTAAACTCTCCCAGAGATATCAAAGGGATACAGGAGGGAACTGCAATCCAAAGTCTAACTGTTTTAAAGGTGTCACAGACTTGCTCATGGGCTTTTAATGAATTCACCTCAAATGTGTTTTTCAAATCAAAGTCTATGTGAAAAGTAACTTTTAACAACTTACGCTAACATTTTACCAAAATTAAGATATCTTAATATAAGTTAGAACAAGCTCCCCAGCCCTCATCACATCAACAGAATGATCCTCTCACCTTAGTTCTTCAGCTACAGCCTTAGAAGTTGACCAGCTGCTAGTAGGCTTCTGTCTACCATTTGATCATAAAGGAAAAAGGTCACAGAACTCCAGATATACAATTCCCAATTCATCAATTCCCAATTCATTTCACAAGCCAAAACTTCCAAGTTTCTTGCAGAAAGTGGATTTTTGCTTAGCTCATGGTCTTTTCAAAGACAGGGAAAGACATTTAGCACCCAGAATTCCATTAAATGAGACATTTCCTGTTTTAATTTTCTCTTTAACAGGAGTAAAATGCTTCCAAGTGTCCAAGTGGCATGAAGCTCTACTTAGCACCTTCCAAAGTCAACAGAACGCTCTTTTGCCACCTATGCAGAGGGAGATGCTCATCAACAGCCTGTCACTGTGCTGCAGAAACTCAACACAGGGAATGAAAGATGGGTTATGTCATTTGTTGACAGACTCTATGAAAATAACTCTAAAAGAACAGCAAAGATCAGTTCAGGACAAAACATACTTTATTGTACTGTAATGTCAGAAGTACAAGAAAAGTACTGCAGAGAACCATGCTAATGGCGTTTTTAGGGTCTGTGAAGGACAGGAGTACAAGATAATGGGGTACTACTGTACTCAGTGCAAAAACTGATTCATTTGAGGCACAAGTACACTATTGTTTAAGCAGCTTGATTCAAGCACAGCTCTGGTATGTGATCTACTCTGTTTTCTTTCTATGTGACAATTCTATAATAAAGCTACTTTTACATGAAAGAGGCAGTAGATTCAAGTCAGGGGTGTCCAAATTGCCACTTGGCAACCAAAAAATTAAGAAAAATACTCCGCATAGTCACCCTCCCCCTTTTAGTTTCATGTATGGAGCAGTGGCTAGGGAAGAAAAGTTATTCTGAAATGTCAGAGCCCAGACCTGTTTCATTGGGTGGGGTTCCCCCCAACCACCCTTTTTCTGTGTCTGTGGGTAACTTATTTCATGTTGACCACAATTTATCCAATAAGAAAAAGAAACAGAACTAACTTGTATCTTGGATAAGAAATCATACACATCTAACATTCAAATAAATTTCAGCCCTTGAGATCTTAACTTATGGCTTAAGACACAAAGAAAGTGTTTGGGCACCCTTGAGTTAAGTTAATGAAGAGCATCTTTGCTAAAAAGGCAAGCAAGATCACTGTTTTAAACAGAGCTGACCTCTACAAGAACAAAGCAGGAATCCAAGTCACTAGTTACTACCAGGCTGACACGTACTGCTGCCCAGAAAGATAAAAATGTAACATCACAACGAAAAGGTTCAACAAAGTTGAAAGATAAAGGTTTCAACACCAGAAGCAGCATTTGAAAACAAGCTGTTTAAGTTAATCTTTTCAAGAGATGCGGATTGCATAACTCTAGGCATGAACAAACATGCTGGCAATCTTCTCCTTTTACACAGCAGCTGTGTTTAACATAGGAAGTTCTGGGTTTAAAGAAAGCTACTTGAAGAAGAATTAAGATTTGCAATTCCCTGTCTACTTAATAAGATTAGTAGAGAAAACAGAAAAAAAAAATCACTACTGAAACAGTAGTTTCTCCATGGATCCCTATCATTACAAACACAGCTGGATTTGTAAGCAACGCAAGACTAAACAGACAGCTATTATTTTATATTATTACTATGCTCATAAGTTACATCAGTTAAAGTTAAAAAAAGCCAAGCAGTTTTGCCCTATTTCAAGAATAGTTTCCAATCAACACCAGTTTTACATGGTGAATGGGACTTCACAAATAAACGAGGAATGGTGACATCTTTGGGTCAAGAATGACAAGAAATAATGGGCTCTGTGCTACCAATCAACCTCAACAAGAATATGGCACACGGGCCAGCCCAAGCCGTACCAACACTGAACCTTTAGCACTCAGCACAAATTCGGATCTCTTTACTTCAGCTAGCAAACCAGTTGAAAAGACTGGGTAAAAAAAAACAAACCAAAAAAACCCAACTAAAAACTTAAGCCAAAATTTGGAATATACTTTTTAAAAAAAATCTGAAGTTTTAAAATAATTTGATGCTGACATCAGTTTGTGCAAACTAAAAAAAAACTCACTGAATTTCTCTCTAACAAAAGACAAATCTCCTCAAATATTCTCCTTTTAGCCCACCGTATCTGTAGATACAATCTGAAATCTAACAGATGTAAATGAAAGAGAGAAAAAGATACAGCATCTGCACAACATTCTTTCTACAAACAGCTGCTGGAGGGAAAGTAAAATATAAACTGAATAAAGAAAGTAAGGTTCCATCTGAAATACTCTCACAATCTTTCCCACTCTGTAGTCCATGAATCCGACTCTGATGCTAAGGTGACAGTGTATGTAAGCAGATTTTTTTGTTGATTTTATTATACTTGAGTTTCAGTTGAAGAGAACCTGAGAAGAGACTCAGGTCTCTTCAGGAATTGTCAGATGGAACATGCTCCTCAAATCCTTCGCTCTCTCGGACCAATGCTCTTTCCAGGATGACACGGCCCTCCTTGTAGCGCTGGCTGTCTTCAGTGGCAAATTCATAGATCCAACCCAGTTTGCTGTTGCAGTTCTTGCAGCTCACGTCTCGAACCATGTGGCGGCCAGTGAGCATGACCCGATCCTGAACTTCACTGTATTGCAGATTTACCACCTGATACAAACACACAGGGGACAGGGAACAGAGAGGATTAGTCTGCCTAAGGCAAAGCTTGGTAAATGACAATCAACATTTTAAAAGCAGAGAGCCTGTGGCACTGCATGTGAACTGAGAACTGCAGCGGCATAAATCAACAGCCCTTGAAAATCTCTCTCTTGAGAAGGTAACATCATGAAGATGTGCTTCACCGGGATGCATAACCCTCACTGTTTAACTGAGAGATATGAAATGCTATGACAAGACGTACAAAAGGGCAGAGGACTGTTCAAGTTTGGGTGAGAAACTCCTGGTGAACAGCTTGTAAACTAATTTACATTAATCCAGTTGTAGCATATGTAACCCGTTTCTAGCAGCTGATGCGATCACTTATTCCCAGAACTCAGAACCAGATATTAAGAGGTACTTCTTTAAAAATCTGGGTGTGCTTTTGAAATAATTATCTAAGCAAAAGCAAGGGTCAGTGGCTGAAAACGTAGGCATGAAACGGGCACCTTTTTTTTATGCTATACTGGCAATTTAAAAGACTAGGTAGCAACACCACAAAACCAGGATTCATTGAAAAGTTGATGTCAGAACTATATCCAAACTGCTGATATAAGGTAGGATTCTAAAAGCTGGGACTGCACTGCTTTCTCAGCTTTCCACCTGCCTGTGTTTGTTCTCTCTGCTTCAGATGTAAGTTTTCTAACTGCAGAAATGCAGAAGTCAAACTTCTGTGATTAAACCCCAGTATCTAACACCAGAAAAACTTGAACTCCAGGATCCAGTGCTTATTGGATGAGAAAGAAATCAGATCCACAGCTCTTTTCTAGCTATGCAGCCTAACACTTACATGTAAGTGCTACTGACAGGACTCAGCATATCAGAAATCCCAGGGCCGAACACAGTTAAGCAAAGAGATTACTGACACTCTCTCAACCCTGCCCACGGCTAAATGGCTGTCAAGAAAAAAACAAAACCAAAACACACCAACTATTATATGACCAGGAACTTTGCAAGAAAGCAAAGGGCAATCACAGTTTTTTTCAATGAGTCTGATGGACAAGTCTATATGGAAGGGTTAATAAATAAATATTACCATTTACTCAAAAGTTTTAAAATTTTTAAATTTTAAATACTTGCGTATTTTAATCTGTTGCATTTGGTCAATTAAAAATACATTAAACTAAAACACAGTATTACTGCCCGTAAAAGAGACATTAGTTGTCAGAATACTGTTAGTTTAAATGCGTTCTAGAAGTTAAACAGAATAGTTTTTAGACTTTTTTTTTTAATTAAGTAAAAGTGCAAATGCCTTTGAAACTCTCTGATAGACACAAGACACCTTCAGAGTGAATTTGAGGTTCATATTACAAAAGTCTCCAAAGTTAAAACTCCATACATCTTGGCATGATGCCTCTATATACACAATCCTCTTTGCAGTCTTTCAATATTGCAGATAAACTAATTCAGATAGTTTGTCATCAATAGTAAATGTCTACCTTGACTTCAAAAACAGTTGAATAAAACAAAATAAAAATTAAAAAAATTAAATAGTAATTACACAACACTTTAGCCAAGAAGTTTTTGGCTTCTCTGATGACATCGTTATCCCACAAACTCATTTTTCAGAAGTAAATAGCAGTTCCTCCTCAGCTTCTTACCAACCTTGTTAAAAAGAAAGGCTCTTCCTGTGGCTCCGGTGAAACGAGTGGAGATGAGTTCGGAACGGTTGGTCAGAATCGTGTCGCAGTTTGCACAGGAGAACAGGCGAGTGCCACCAATATGATCCAGGAAAATTCTTCCCATTTTTAGAACTGATGTAAGTTTACACTCAAGACCTGAAAGCAAAAGGAGAAGATCATGTACATGTAAAAAAAAAAGGCACAGAAAAAAAAAAAAAGAAAAAAAAAATTCCCAACACCCTACATACGGTAGAACATTCTGCAAACCAATTCAGGTAATGATTGAAGGGAGTCCTTCTTTCACAGGCGAGTTACTAAACTCACAGTCGGCCTTCACCCTCTCTCATTAAGACAAGTTCTTTCCCAAAGTGACCATCTTACAATAACACGACCTAGATACAAACTAATTACATTAACGGAGAAAAACATCAACGGAAAGCTTTAAAATATAGTTCAGACATTTACAGACCCTCTACTCAACCCTACAGTTCTTCAGAAGCTTTTACGTCCTTTAATATTGAAATTCCAATCCACTATATTCCCAACAACTTAGTGAGCACTGGGGAATGAAGAACTGAGCACTGACATTGAGTCACCAATTACAGCCTAATTTTCCCATGTCACCCGCCCCCCCTTTTAAAAAAATATATATTTATTTTGTCACTTCCCCTAAGCTTTGCATAATTTATGACACACACCACCATCACCCCGAATGCCTGCCTGCTGCATTTGACTTGACACTGGTTTCATACACATACCAATATAGGAAAGGTTTGGATGCTATTTCACATAATAAACAATCCACCCAGTCTTTACACGAGACTGTACCATATACAAATATTTAAAGTTGTCTAGTGTAAATACAAAATACTGCGACATTTATCCAAGATGTTTCCAAAGCTTCATCATTAAAATACCTGAGCAATTACAATAAGCCAAAAAAAAAAAAAAAAAAAAAGAAGGAAAAAGAAAGAGACACCTTACAAAGTTTATAGCAGCAGATCTGCAGTACTTGACAATTCAGCCTCTTCACTGCTTGGGAAAATTAAAGTGTCTCACCAACTTTATACCAACCAACATAAACTTCTCATAGTTAACTAGTGAGTAGGCACAGAACATATCAGCTGAAAACTTAACTCACAAAGGATGATGTAACATGACAAACGAATTAAATGATGTTATTTCCCTTTCAACTGCAGAAGTTTTATGACTAAATACCTATAGTTAAACATGTTAAATGTAACTCTATTTATGCTTCAGATGTGGAATCAGAAAAGCATATTGTCTCTGCTTTTGTCATGCACAGAAACACGAAGTAAATCTGACACACTGCATTATTAACGTTGTGTGGGCTTTACTTTTCAGAGCAGCAGATACTCTGCTGTTCATAGAGAAATTAATCAAATTTTGTGCTCATCAAGTTGAATATTCTAAGTCAAATGCCTTCAAGAAGCGCAAATACCTAAATTAAACTCATTTCAAGTCTTAGGGGATCAGTTTCTTAAAGCTTCCTCTGACATGCACAAAGCAAATGGACTAAAACATGCACCTAAACACACGAAATTTAACACACTGTTTTTACATGGAAAAATCAGAAGTCACCGACATAATGATTTTTTTCCCAATTGCTTTATTTCACCACTTAGTTTTCCTACAATGTGTAGCAACAAAAAGGGTTTCTAAATTGAACAGAGTGATTTTAGCACAGGTTCCTTACAAGCATATTTTTCAAATCACTATTAATCTTCTGTATCCCATTTGAAGGATACATAAAAATTCAAAGTGATGGAACGACTCTTTCCTTTAAATTTCTCTTCTTCAAAAGATAAATAAAACAGGTCTTCAATCTGACAAAAATATTTCATAGACTCAGCTGAGTGTTAGAGGTGTGACTCCCTGTGACTCCACTCAAAATATAGAAGGCATTTTCATTACATTTCTCTAAGCATTATATCTTCCTAATACTTCTTTATCTTTCCTAGCAAGCAAAGGCAAAAGAAAAAATTAAAATGTGAATGGTGACAGAATGAAGGAAAATAAACAGACAATAAGTGTGAATAAACAAGTATCAGTCAAAGTCTCCAGCCAAAAGAAACCACAAGTACAAGCAATAAAGGCAATTGTAACAGATATGCCCATAAGGCACTTGGCCTAGCTCCATGTGCCATCCTAACTAATTTTGGATAATGTCATATTTGTGCTGATTGTATTGTGGATTAAAAACAATTAACTGATCATAAGTTACTGTAAATGTGGAATCAGCATCCAAAGGGATATTTCTTTCAGGGTAAACACAAAGCTTAGCCCATCAGTATTTTTAGAAGCTAACGTAAAATAATTCCAAACCCATCCCTCTCATACCAAGAGCAACACAAACACTATGCTTGGCGACCAGAACAGATCCATTACACAGACTGACCTTGCACAGTATGAAAACTGCCATTTTGAAAAACACATCTAAACACTTAAACTGCAAGTACATCACCTACCTAAAATCATACCTCATGTTACTGCACTCAGAAAAGCAGTAATCCAGAGAGACTAAAAATTAAATACTTCAGAGGAGAGCACAAACGTAATTCTTACAAGCAAGTTAAAAGTCAAAGCAACATACAAATGTATTACTTCTGGATATGGCACCATGCATGGACTGAAGTGTTGAGTCCTGAAGATACTGAACATTAAAATAAATGCATAAATATAATCTAAGACTAAAGGCTGAAAAACATGCTAGTAACACAAGGCCTGAAATCTCCAGTTATCTGTGTAATCCCAAAGAGCTAAAAGTAACCTCATCAAGTATCTAAATGAGAAATAAACTTGTAATAAGGTTTGGGTCCCAACAGAAAGAAAATATGAGATTCATTTGATGGTACCAAAAGGCTGTGAGAATTCAGACTGAAGTCACAGTAGACTCTAACAAACCAGTTGGTACCAGAACACTTTTCTTCAGAATACAGTGCATAAGAAAATGTATATTCTTGAAAACAATATATGTTTTAAAATTTAGAAAATTACATTCTACAATCAACATTATAACAGTCAAAACAATGTAGAATTTGCATATGTTTTCTTAAGAAACTGCTAGAATTCTGTAATCTTACTAGAACGTCTAACTTTTAAAAAGTAACCTCTACACTTAACTACTGCCTGGTAGACTTCAGTCAAAATATATAGCACTCAGCAGCTACCTCAGTCCTTAGTTTTGATTGCTGCAGGATTTCAATGAATCCATAGGGATCCAGCTGAAGTGTTGTAAAACCTTAAGTCACCTTAAGTCTTTATGGTACTGCTCACAGTGGTAAAAAGGAGGAAAAAAATTACAAAATGACTGCTAGTAATGCAGCCTTCAAATGCCACCCTCGATCATGAACTTTCTAAAGAAATAAGCTAGCATGGAAATTTTGCCTTTTCCTCTCCTATATCAAAAAGTTAATTTCAACTTGGAATCATTTCACGCTTTCCCCTCCCGTTTCCACGGCCCTGCCATCCCCCAGCTAAAAACACAGCATTTACTTATCAGATGAAATCAGAAGATACTTGCTGTGGATAAAGACTCTTCCCTCCTTATGTAAGGATACTGAATCCTGGAGGGTATACTCACTGTGCACAGGAGAAAAACATAATAGCACAACAGAACAAGGGAAAGCAATTTTCCATTGCTCTCAGGTTCCTGTCCCTTACATACAGAAGTGGTGTGTATGAAGTCACCCAGGATAACTGTAATTTTTTTTCCTATAGTTTCACTACCTATGTAAAAGGTGCAGGCATCTATTTATGTTCACACATACATAACTGATCTGAAAAAGCCACTTCTAGGTAGCCTCTATAGGCAGTGGGAGGGCTCTCTTAAATGAAGAGAAGCCAAAGAATTGTGAAACATTAAAGCATTTCTAAAGCTTAAGATCCTCCAAATAGGGGGAGGAAAATGCATTAAGTGCACTTACCCATTCATCCACTCTCTACACTTAAAAACAGGGAAAATAACTTCCTCTAATTCAGAGAGGCAGTCAAGTTCTTTATTGCTATTTACAGCCCCAGAAAGTGACCCTACTGTATCACACCAATTCCATCATGCTACTAGCAGAATTTTCAGAAGCGGTTGACAGGAATCTTGGTTATTCACAGAACTAAATGCGGAGGAAAGAACAGATTTTTCTTTTGGGCCTATAATTTAATTTTTAAAATCGGCTAAGCATTCTTCATTGGGTGTGTATCAGTGAAGTGCTAATGACCTTGCCTTCATGCAAATTACCAAACACAAGTCATAATATTAAACACAAGTCATAATAGCAAATTAATGGCTGCAATGTAAAAAAGGAAGACTTACTTTCATTAATGGGGTATAAAGTATCTACTGCTTGTCAAATCTCCACAGTTCCAGAAGACGGGTACTTTTATGAACTGAGAGATGATGACACTGTGTCAATATTCAGCACCCAGACCACCACTATCAACCTGCATTCTTGAGAGGACCTTTAGGAGAACAATCAATGATAGCTCACATGACCCTCCTAGCCAGTCTTGTAGACAGTGCATTATTCTGACAATATAAACCTCGATACTACTTGTTAATCATACTGTGAATCACTTCCTCCCTGCATGCCTCTCCAGTGAGTGCATGGACAGACAGGAAACACAGGCACTGTGGTTAATGCTATGACAGGATTCCTAGAGCAGTAGCTCCCAAACTTCCACCTGTTTTTCAGTGTTGATTTCGGCAACACTGAGCAACAGCTGTCAAAGAGCTGACATTCAACAGCTTCAATTTGGCTGCTGTCTGCACACAGACCTGAAACCACCTGGTTGGTATTTGTACTACCTAATCTGCCTACCTTCACAAGCAATGAAGAACCAAAAAGTAACATGAAGAATTATTTATTAACATTTTTAAAACTAACAGTCAGTGTTTTCTTGTCCCGGAATGCATCTCTTGAAGCCACAGGACCATCAACACCTGGGAGACCCAGCAGGCACTTTCTATATACACACTGGATTGTGGATATTTCACAGGAGGAGCCTCAGTGTTGCTTCAGCACCATCTACTGCGTCTCAGATCTACAACAGAGAACAGCTGCTAGTTAAAGGACCAAAAATTATGACAGTGTCTCTTCCACCATTTCACCAGCTAAAAACTTTTCCCTTTGTGATTAAATAAGCACTCTCTGCCCCATGAAACAGGGTCATGCATTTCCCTAGGCAGAGTGAAACATTCTCAAGGGGTACTTACCCTGGAATCAGGCTTAAACTTCATCATCGCATCTCAGGAACTGGGCTTAAGCTTCCTCTTCTTGTTTTGGAGATGGACAAAAGAGAAAAAAGAGTTCTTAGCAGAGCTACACAAGACCACACGTCGAAGTGTCACTGGGTAAGTAAAAAATAAAACTTGCTCCCTACCTTCCCAGGTTTCCGCTGCTCAGAGGTTGGGGTGCATTTGAAAACACACACGTGGTCAGTCTCTTAGGAGGTCTGAGATTCAACTCCGCCACCGACTTCTGAGGCTGTCAAAGTTAGCAGGGCCTGGCCTCTGCCTACATGCAGAATTGAAACCACCACATGTAGCCAAATGCGAAGAGAGAAAGTGAGCTGGAACAGTATGCTGTGCTCATTAGAACCATCCAGCTACTGTAGCAAACTGTAAAAGGAATGTAATACAGTCCAATGACTGAAGAGGCTTTGGCAAAGCAATGAACAAGCTGCCTTGCAGGATGAAACTGCATTTGTGCAAGTTGCAGTAGTGTCATTTTGTGTTGCAAAGTGGCTTTTTTCCTGGGTAAGGTGAATGCTGTGTTGGTATTTAAATGCATTAACATTATATTGGTGCATGCAAACACTAATAGAGGGTAGTTTGTTTCAATTTTACAGAGAGCAGAGCCATACAGATGGGTGCTTGTTTCTCATACAGACCCTGTATCTCAGCATCTTCCACAGAGTAACTTACACCCTCACAATACTCTTGCTAGATAACATAGTAAAGTATTAGTTGACAAATGGCATCAGACTCAGATTAACTTTCTTTCTACTACACAGAGTCCAAATGCAGCAACTATTCCTGACTCCGTGTTTCTTTCCCCCTTTCTTCTTCCCCTTCCCTTTCTGTCTCACTTTTCCCCTTCCAATTCTTCCACAGTTTTCAAGAAAGCTTTATTTCTTGGTTTTGTAATAAATTTATTCTTATACTAATTAGGCAGCTGAGACGACTTTTGCCTATGAATCCATTCTGCAACTTTCAGAAATCTAAACTAATTTAGATTTCCTGTTTTCACCAGTCTTAGCACCGAAATGATACAAAATTTCACCCAAAGACACCACTGGTTTCATGAGTCATTAAAAAAAAAATCCAATAAGCAACCTTTAAAGAAATTAAGACAGCTATCATCCAGACTTTCAAACAAACTATGTAAAAGTGGCAGAAAAGGTGCTAGTATGTTAAGTGCACCTCAGCAAGAAATTTTTATATTAACAGAAAAAACTTCTAAATGTAGGTAAGGCCTCCAAAACTTGAGAGAGCCTTGCTAACAAACATCCACAATGCACAGGCATTTCACCTACACATTTAACAAGGCATTTTAAAGTTAAATCTTGCTTAGGGGAAGTAGTATTTCAGCAAGAGCTGGGCAACTCAAGATTTCAACACAGGTCAAATGACAGTAAACAAACATGAACCAATGACCTAAGTTTGACACCACCACTTCAAGCTCGTGAGGACTACCATCAGAGGGAATGTTAAATGCACATATATAAATACGTGTACACGTGTGTACAACTCTCTGTCTGTGACAAGTAACAAATCTGGCCTGTTCTTGTCATCTTCTCTACTGAGTTTTGAGGTGCAATTGCTGTAGTCTGCACACAAGTGGCAGCCCCACCTGAAACTCACTCATCATCATTATTAAAATCTATATAAAAACAACAACATCTGCATCTCTAAATCAAGCACTTCCACAACTACGGAAGTGAAAGTAACAGATGACAGAAGCGCCCAAATAGTATTTCTACAGACTAACATTAGAAAAAGAGAGTAGCACTTAAAAATATAGTTTTGTTTGTCACAGACACGACTTGAACTCAGCTATCCAGAATGAGTCTATATGTAAAAGCATTACATGTATAGCAGTTATATACAGTCACGTGAGGGAATGTTTACAACTACGGAGCAAGTTCCCTCCCTTTCTGCCATCAGTCACAATCATGACTTATGTTAATGGTTAACCTACTGCCATTATTTGCTGACATCAAGAGCTGCTCTGCGACACCTACCACTTTCGAAAGAGCCCTGCCCTGTGTTTCTCTCTCAGGAGACGTGTGTACTTGCCTTGTTGTTCCCTCAGTCTAACCCTGACACCAAGTTTTTTGTTTAAAGAAACTAAAGGCAACTAATTCATTAAATTCTACGTCTGTATCAGTCCAAAACATGGTCTTTATTCTTAAATAAACACGATGGATTAATCTAATCTGTATCTGCTTGCACAGTAGAACTAAGGGCTGTGCACAGAGTAACAAATGAACCAGACAGACAACAGTCTTCGCATTCCTTTTTGCTTGGACTTAGAACCTTTCTGAGAGGTTTTCCAGGGCGGAAAAGCGCTTGCAGAATATTTCAGCTCCCTGGGAATCCATACTTCCACGGGGAAAAACCCAGCGCTGACAGGCGAAGCCGCCTCGCTGCTGGGCGAGCCGCGAGCACCTCCATAAAGCAAACCACCACCGCTGGATCCCTGACAGCATCCCCCGGGAATTCCCTGTCCGGCGGGGACACCGGGGAGCGGCCGAACCGGCAGCACCTTTGCACGGGGAGGGGGAGCGACGCGTCAGGCGGCGGGGCCGCCACCCCCCGTGCGGCCGGGCAGGGCGGTTCAACCCCCGCGTAACCCTCCCCTGCGCTGGCCCGGCCGGGGCCCGGCGCGGCGCTGTGCGCAGGATGGGGGTGTCGGTGCGGATCCCGATCCCGGTGCCGATCCCGGTGCGGGTGCCGCGCGCACACAAAGCCGCGCGCGCGGGGGCGGTCCCGGGCCCGGCCGTCACGGGGGCGCGCGCAGCCAACCGGGGCCGTCCCGGCCCGTCCCCCCCCCGGCAGCGCAGGAGCCCTGACAACAAACAGCAGGAAACAGCTGACGGGGAGGCACCGCCGCCGCCGCCGCCTCCGCCGCGACGAGGGGCCGTGCCCGGGCCCACAGCCGCCCTCCCACCCTGCACCGAGCCGCCGAGTCGCCCCCTCTTCCCGCACCGGGCCCGGGCACGGCCCCTCGCCCACCCGCCCGGGGCTCCGCGCAAGAACGGGCCCGAAAAGTTGCCCGGCGTGGGGCCGGGGGAGGAAGTTGTGTCGGCGGCGGCGGGGAGGGGGTGCTCGGTGCCGGCCGCCGCCGGGAAGGCTGGGCGGCGCTGGGAGGCACTGACGGAGGAGGGGACGCGGTGGGGAAGGCCGGTGCTTTGTGGCGGCGCCGGCGCGCAGCGGGGCCGGCAGGGCCGGCCGCTGCCCCTCTCCGCACCGCCGGACCGGACCAGAGCGGCTCGCCCGGAGGCTCCACCGCGGCCCGACAGACACAGTGTCGCGGCGCGGAGCGGCGACCGCCACCGCCCTCCCCAGCCGCCCCAGCCTCCCCGGGCGGCGCGGGGCGGGCACGGCCTCCGCCGGGTTACCTGGCGCCAGAGAGCGGCGGCGGCGGTAGCAGCAGCTCCGTGCCCGGTGTCTCCCCCCCTCCACGGCCCCGCCGCTCCGGATCGGCCGCGCGGCTCCGCCCCGCCGTGGCCCCGCCCCGCCACCCGTCGGTCAGCGCCGCCAAGGCCACTCCCCCCGCCATTGCCACGCCCCGCGCCCGTCAATCAGCGAGGCCGAGGCTCCGCCCCCGCCGCCTCGCGCCCCGCCCCGGGTTCGCCTCAGGGCTGCGGGCGGCGGGGCGCGCCGGGTCGGGGAGTCACGGAATCATCGATTCACCGAAACTGGAAGAGACCTTTTAAGATCATCCAGTCCAATCCAACCGTCCACCCAGCACCGCCACTATAAACCCCTAAACCACTAAACCAGATCACACAGTGCCAGATCGAGACGCCTCTTGAACACCTCCAGGGGTGTGACTCCAACCACCCAGGGCAACCCATTCCAGCCCTAACAGTGGGTTTTTTTTTTCTAATATCTAATCTGAATCTCCCTTGTCTCTACTTGAAGCCATTTCCTCTGGTCCTCTCACTGCAGGCACGACAGAAGAGACCGGCCCCCACCTCACCACACCCTCCTTTCAGGTGGTTGTAGAGAGCGATGAGGTCCCCGCCTCAGCCACCTCTTCTCCAAAGTAAACAAACCCAGCTCCCTCAGCCATTCCTCATAAGACTTGTTGTCTACACCCTTCACAAGCCTTGTTGCTTTGTCCTGCCCTGGCAATGGGTTTCCCCGCACCACAGGGGCCCAACGAGTGTTTGAGGTGGGGATGTCAGCCACATCCCCACTTCAGTGATCATGCTGATTGCAGAGTTTCAGGCCATTCCAGTTGAAGTCTTTGCTGGATACCTCAAACACTCTCCACGGTGGAGATGAAAGATCAGAGGAGAATGAGGGAAAGGGTTGGTAGCCATTCTTGGCCACTGGTTGCAAGAGCTATCAGTTCCCTGCCAGTTTTAATGGTTCAGTGCTTACGCACTGATTGCCTCCTTGACAAACAAATAGTGGTCTTGGCCAAAATAGAACGAAAAAAATCCTTTTCAGTTGCTAGTTATGAAAAAGAGGTGCAAAAAGCTGTTGTTTTCCTTCTATGAGGCAATCCATGATGTTTTAAGGATTTCTGTTCTAATACCATCTTAAACAAAGTATTTTTCATGTAGGGCGATTCCTGGGTCTATCCATGTGGTATCACCAGAGGAGCTGCAGAAATGGCAGGAAGGAACAAGCCAGCAGGACTCTTCTGGCATTTCGCACAGAGGCAAAGAGACGTCTCTGTGTATGTATAGCATGCAGGACATGCTTATACGCCCAGTTGCTGTTCTTCAGCTGGTGTCTTCTTGCATGGATTCTCTTACTATTAGAAATATCCAGGTAGAGGGGTACACCACTGCCTGCATGAGGGTAGACAGTCAGTGGGGGTCAACATCAACACATTGAGAACTGCTGTTTGCTTTGAACAGATCTCCAGAAAATCAGATCCCTTCAGTATGGTTAGCTCTGGCCTGATCCTGCATAGAGCTGAGCATTGACATTGCTCTCTGACCTGTCATCAACCCCTCTTTAGATCATGCAAGGTGAGGGAAAGGCACTGGAGCACTCTGTCAGATAGCAATCACCACTTAGTTAATGGCACGGGAACAGCAGATGTACTAAGGATATTAGAAGAAAGCCATAAAGACCATGCCTGGGGTCCAATTTACCACCAGCAAATGGAGGAAATAACTGGTCTAACATGCCCTGTTTGTTAATAGGTTGACCTCATCTGCTGCTGTGCCTCACCGAGTAACTGTGAGCTGTGTTCCCACTGAATCTGCTCAGTCTCGTCACGGGAGCTATGTGAAGGTCTACGTCTTATTCATCTCTGCAAAGCTCCTGTAGAGATTGCCATAAACAAAGCCAAAGCAGAGCAAAAAGAGAGCCAAAGCAGTGATTCTTTAGTCAGTGCTGGTGACTGGGTTTTATCTGAGGACTTGTGAGCTCACTGCTCAGCTCTGCTGCTGAGGCATCCCTACATCCCAGGGCAAGACAGTTCTTTCTGCCTCATTTTGCCTCTGTAAAATACGAAGAGTGATGCTCCCTGCCTTACTGGGAGATTGTGTGTCTGCTTAAGTACTGTTCTGCAGTCTGGGCATATGGAGGGGATGTATGCTTGAACGTTGCAATCATCATAATAATATTAGCATGAAAATAAAGCAAAGCCCAAACCTATGAATAGAATTAAATTCTCAGCAATAAGAAGGGTAGCTGTACCAATCAGAAATAAACCAAATGGACCATGAGACAAGCAGAGAATGGATTAGCCTGTGCTTGACAGATGGTGCCAGGGACTGATGTTTTTATTTCCCTCACAGAGGAGCTTAGAGGAAGGGGGGCAGGGAAGGGTGAGGTAGGGCATGTTTAATAGAACAAAGCATCAGGCTGTAGCAGCTCTGCTGAGAAACAACAAAAATACCAAAAGCAATTTCCAATTAGCTTGTAAGGGGCATGCTACATATCAGCTAGAGGTGAAAAACAGGAACAGGAATATTGTACCACATGACACTTTTAATTTTCAAAGCAGCCTGAAAACATTAATTAATCCTCCTCTGATATAGGGAAATGCAGTGCAGTCAGCAGTTTGTTCCTTTACTTCTCATGCCAGGTTTTGGGAAGACCCTGGGCTTTTTCCACAGCTGATTCATATCACAATAGCTCAGATTACTCTGGAGGAGCCAGTCCTCTGTGCAGCACTACAGAGCAGAAAAGGTGGTGTTAGATCTGGAACTTAATGAACCAGAGAGAGGGGACATGCCCAACAGCCTTAGTAAGACTCACCTTTAATATTCGTCCCATCTAAATCCATTTGTCAGTGCTGTGAGCAACACTATAGGAAGCATTTCAGAGAAAATGGTGTGACTGAGGAATTAATCACAATCTCAGACAGAACTGTGCAGTGAAACTCAAGCGTCAACATTTTTGTCTAATTAACACCTGTGACAAAACTTAGTGGAATTCAGAGGGAAAGGAGGACGTCCCATTGAATGAGTGTCAGGGCTTGGGGGCTGCTTTTGCACGTCTTCTGTCTTTAAAAAGAAAATGTTACAGCTTGGTGCTTCATTTCTAGAACCACTAATAACTTTTCAGTACACTTGTGGATTCCCGTGTGGTGAAGTTGAGCCTACCAATCCAGGCATGCCTGAGGAGGGACAGTGATGTAGCGGGATTTTCCACTGCTCTTTCTCCCTTGCCCAGGATTTCTGGCAGCAGAGAGGAGGCAGCAGAAATACAAAGCCAGACTTACGGGCTGTGATCTCTCTGAGAGACAGCTTGACTCCTAGCTGCCTCCTCTATGCCTTCTCAGCTTTGCCTTGCATCAAAGGCTGGGTTCATCCCACGAGCTGCTCTTGTTTTTTGGCAGTGGCTACTGGTAGCCTGTGTTTTTGCAGAGGAGATGGTACAGCCTGCAGCATCATTCTCGTACACTAAGCCTACCGACACACACACAGAATTTAGTTACCTTTCATTTCCCATCACAACCTGACACCTATTGCTTTTGGTTCACCTGAAAGCCGACACGGGCACGAGTGCCATTTACAGATACTTTTTCAGATTACTATGTTTTTGCCAGGGGAAACTATTTGTACAGTTAATCTCAACATCAGAAAGTGAAGATCAGTGATGAAGCAGTCCTTCCATACCCTCTCTGTAATGGCAGAGCTGGCCTCATTACCATGTCACCATATCTAGTAGCTGTTGGACAGATTTTAAAAGGTGTTTAAGTGTAAAACCCCAAAGCACTCAGGAGCCATATCAGAGAAAGTATTTAATGTCCAAAGAGGGACTTAAGCTTTATGTGCCATTATTAAGACATCAGGAATAGAGCCAGTAAGCAGGCCTGATGCCAGGGAATGCATAACGCTCTCCTGCAGAAACGAGGAGTCATCACTGTGCACA